GCACCTCTTGCGCTGATTAAAATGACTTACACATCTGTATTCACCACATGAGTAGGAGCTAGAGACTTCTCAGGACTGACATCACCTCTTGGTGATACTGTTAATTATGGGATGTTTTTCAGGGATGCATCTAAGGCTACAAGATGCGTGTCTCAAACGTTTAGGCAAAGGAATATATCTTTTCAAACACAATAGCGTGCATTGCTTTGAACACATCAGTGAAAAGAACACTTGTGCATTCCTCCCTGTTCTTTTGGAGGAAGGCTTAAAATCAAATGCTGCACCTGGTTTTATAAAAACTTACCAGTGCTGTTCCCTATTCAAATAGAGCTAAGTGAGTGTTTTGCATTTGTTGAACAACAAACTGGCAAATCAAGGCGCTGAATAGATTTCAATTATTATAACAATGTTAAGCTGTCATGTTTTTAACAGATCTATATAAAGCTAATCACATAGAATAAATAAAATATGGAGCAAAGGGTGATAACAAGAAGCAGCGAAGTGAGACAGACAAAATATTGGAAATGTCAGCCTTAATGTACCCATCATTTTTTGATTTATATCTCATTCTTGTCTTTCCGTGGCTGCTACTGTGAGCATGTCATTAATAATGACTTCTTCGGAGCTTTGTAGTAATCTTTAAGAATTCTAGTTGAGTTTAAAGGTGATTTAAATTATGCCATTTCTAATCAAATTGCAGAAAGGGGGGTTAAAAGAAGTCATTAGAGTGCTGCTTCCCATAACCTGATTGTCACAGTAGATGGCAGCACTTGTCTGACCTTGGAAGATGAACGGGGTTAATGTTTGGATGAGGGAGCTCTTGGGTAAAACTCCCTAAAGAAGGCAGTGGCTACTCACTTTTATGAATCCATATGGATCTTTTTAAGCCCATGGAATGCTAATGAAACTCAGGTTTATTTTTCATCCAGATGCAGGTTGATTTCTTGATGTTCCTCAACCAGCAGTGATGGAGAAGACAGGACATAACTGGCTTAATAAGTATATGACAAGGTTCTTTTGCTCAGAAAGCTGAGGGTGCTCATGAAAGGGGCCAAACTCCAATGTAGCATGTTGTGAGTTGGGTTCTTACAACTCTTCTGGCCAAATCCAGTGGCACTGAAAACTGCATGATTGTGTAAAGTGACGGCAGACCCATTTTTGATTCCTGTCAGCTATTAGAAATGCCGCTTGAGTCTAGCCTTTGCTCCAGACTAATTTGTGATACATGCTCCCCTGAAGTTCTGTATTATGAAATATTCACAGACCAAAAATACGAAATACTATTGGTGTGGTAAGATGAAAAGTATGAGTTAGAGCAAAAGAACCTTGACTTCAAGGAAGCTGGCTCTGTTTAGCAGGCAGTTGCATAGCTTTTCCTGTAGCAAAAATTGGTTCCTACACAAATAGAATTCTCTCTTTGGTCTATTTCCTTGGCCGCTGCTTTGCAAATGGAAAACTCTTTTTGTATGTAAAATGAAATGTTATGGTTCAACCCTCCACTGAACAAGCCATCATTCACAATAAGTTAAGCTATAGGTGGTTTGGTTTATTTTAACTGGATTGTGGCTTATCCATTAAGTCTCAGTCTGAAGGCTCTTCCTCCTGGTCTCCTGTTATAGGAGTTTACCATCATGGAAGTCCTTACTGTACTCTTTATTATGGAAGTAGAGATCTCAGCTGCAGTCTTTGGCCAAGAATTTGTTTTAATGTGTTGTCCCAAGTCTCCAGTGCAATACACAGTGATTTAAATTTGGGTAGCTGACCTGCTTGACTAAAAGCTAATCATTATATTATGACTGAGTTCACACATTATATTAAACTATGGTTTAGTCAGTGATTTGTTAAATAAGCCATAAACTAGGGCTGGGAACTCCCAAGCCACACGATGGCTTAGCATCATGTGTGAATCCAGCCAGTATATTGGACTGGCTTGGTCTCCCATTGCTTTAGGTATGAACAACCATTTCCAAAGCAACTTCTGAAAAAATCGTAAACCTCTAATTAGTGCTTTGAAATATGCTGCTTTAGGCCTGTTTCTCTGTGTGTGTCTTCTTTGGTCAACCCAAATCCTGATTTCCTATGTTAGAACTTCAGTTCCTCTTTCTAGATGTCTTGTAGTTTCAGCTTTTGCAGTCAGACCAGTCTTGTTCTTTAGGCTGTTCCTTAGATCTCTGGTTCAGAATCCCAAATTGGTAAGCAGAAGAAGATGGAGTTAGAATGATCTGAGGGATGGAAAAATGGGTGGCATGGTTTTTCCTCATTATCTAGGATCTTGGGAAACAAAAGTCTACCCTAGCCAGCATGGGTAGCAAGGATTCAGTTGCCAAAACCTTCTGGTGGTCCCCAGGCTATGGCTGCATATTTTTAAACCTTTTTTCAATAGGGCCTCCCCAGTTCTTGAATATTTTGCCTGCAAAGATTCTGTTTTTAGATTGGCAAAATAGGGTTGGGCCTCTCAGAATCAGATGTCCCATCACTTGTTTAGTTTTGGCTTTCCATGATGTGTGAATGCAGCTCTTGTGGCTTGTAAACCATGGCTTATGGCTTAGCATAATATGCGAACCAGCCATTGTGGCTTACTCTGCATCTATGGTTAATAAACAATAATTTAAAGTTGCTAATGCTCAGCAGTTGTTTTTTTTTAATGATTCCCCAGTACATTCTCAGAGGACTTTTGACTGAGGAAATATTGGCTATTGACAGTAGAGGGCGGTAGCTAACATATGCTTGTTTAATCTGAATACTATGTTAATGAAAGCAGTGATTTAATAATGCCATTTGCTGTTAAATCACAGAATGGCAATGTCTTACAAAGTGTCTGGCTCTTCCTACTTTTTAATATTACTTTCAACTTGCATTTCTTTTTTCTGCAGCCGGCTTCATTGGTTATACATTTTTAATGCTCTTCTTAATATCATGGAATATTTCATTATCAGTTTAAAAGTCTCATACCTTTTAATGGCTTTCCAGGTGAAACAATATATTGAATGATGAAGTTGTGTGTGATGAAGATGCAGCTGGAAGGCCAGGGTTGGGGTTGAGGTTAGGGTTACATTGCAGGGGGCTCTGTATGCATTTACCTACACTAAAGTATATCAGAGCACCTGGCTTGGATATTTCTACTGATAGGCTGAATAGTGGTTGTTGCTGAAAACTAGTGTGGTCATGTCAGTTTAGCACCCATTATGCTAAGCCACATCATGGTTTGTTGTATGAATCCAGCCATTGTAGTTTGTAAACTATGGTTGACTTGATGTTGGCAAGTGCCTGGCCTGTCATAAAACGGAAGGATCACAAGCACAACTTCTGGGGGTTGTGGGGGGGGAAATGGGAAATGAGTGGCTTCTCAGAGCCCTTCCCTCCAAGAAAGGGAAGGATCAAAACGGAAGGATCACAAGCACAACTTCTGGGGGTTGTGGGGGGGGAAATGAGTGGCTTCTCAGAGCCCTTCCCTCCAAGAAAGGGAATCTGAGTATGGGTAAGGCTAAAGAGCAGACATGTAAGACTGTAAGTACTACTCCATTAAGGATGGGATTAAATTGTACATTTTGTACCATTTTAAAAGGTCACTCAGTTACAGGGAAGATTTTGGTCAGGAAGAAGGGAGAGATGGAGCTGGAATGACCCTGTCTGTGAATAGGGCTTTTTTTTGTTCACAGGAAAGAATTGGCAGGGCCCATCTGTGGATTAGTTTATCTGTAATTGTGAAAGTCCTTATCAGGAGCATATCCACCTGCTGCTGAAAGCCTTGGGCATAGCTCCAGGGAGCTCCAAAACTGGTTAGCAAATTGATTTTTTTCAATGTGATGGAAGGGATTATTAACTTTACATCCCTGATGAAATATAGTCGCTCTGCTTAATTTTAACATATAAACATTAAAAAAAGCACACATTGTTTTGGTGTTGGCCTTGGCCCTGTGTTTTTTAAGTTGAATGGGTCTCTCTCTAGTAATAAGTATAGCCATAAAATGATGTTTTCAGTACCATTCAAAGCAGGGTGGAATACTGTGGAAAATGTCTTTTTTTTCTGTTGGAATTAAAATCCGAGTTGCCTTGAGGAGGACACCCTGAAACACAGATCTTGAAGGAGAAGCGGAGTCCGTAGCATAGAAATGGGAAGTAATCTCTTTTTGTCTTTAGCCATGTTCTTGGTCTCATAAATGTAATTTAATTTGTTTTCAATAAAACCACTTGATCATCGCTCACTGGGGCAAGGTTAAGTCAATTATTCAGAGCAGCTAGGAGTTCAGCTATTGATTTGTTTTTCTTCCAACCCTCCATCTCTGCATTCTGGAAAGCTCTTAATAGATGGAAGCTATTTCTGGCTGGGAGATGTGCAGGTGACTGTTTCAGTTACTCCCATTTTAATCATTGTTTCAGTTGGAAGGAAATGGCGCACTGTTGTTTTATTACTAGGCGTTGTTCCCAGTGGGGCAATATTCAACAAGCCTTGCAAGGTTCTGATCTGTAAGGAACATTGGTCACACCATCCGAACATGGCCAGAATCTTTAAACCTGATTTTGAAAGGATAGTGCAGTATTGGAAATGGGTTTAAAGGAGGCTGCCTTAAACAAGGCCGGATTCCAGGACCTCAAGAAAATAACTTTCTCCAGCCCTTGTTCCCTGACTAGCAGTGCCAAAAATTAAACCTGGAATTGGACATCTGCATGCAAACTTGGTGGTGCATCTCTGAGCTATAATTTTTTATGCACCAAGTTCTGACTTGGAATTTTTAAAAGCATTATGCTATAATTACTTCTCTGATGATTTATCAGGCCTTTCTTACACAGTACCAAACATAGCTTAGACTTGCGCACTGTCACAGTTAACCACCACGGATCTTTGGTTTCCAACCAGCTGTAGTACGTATAACAGTGTTCCTCAACCTTAGCAACTTTAAGATGTCTGGACTTCAGCTCCCAGAATTCCCCAGCCAGCTGCTGAATTCTGGGAGCTGAAGTCCAGACATCTTAAAGTTGCTAAGGTTGAGAAACGCTGAAGTATACGATCACAAACTAGGAAAAAAAGTTTCTAGTTGTGGATCATGACGAAGAAAGAAGAGGGTGCATGGAATCTTGAGCCTCTTTGGGGATACTTCTCGGAGTGCTAAACCAAGATTTAGGACTTGTTTGAGTGTAGCAAACTAGTGCCCTCCAGATGTTTTGGATTTCACCTCCCTTCAACCTTACCTGTCCTGCCCAGTAGTAAGAGATTATGGGAACAGTAATCCAGAATATTTGGAGAGGAGAAAGTTGTCTCCTCCTGGTCCCAGTGCATATTGTATGTTACAATGGAACTGGGTTTACACGTCATGCTAAGCCAGGGTGTGGTTTGTTGGTTTTGGGCATAGCATAACATACGAACACTGCCTTAGGGTTTGTAAACTCCAGGGCCTATGCGGGTGAAGCCCCTCGGAGACATTTCCCCGCTGCTTCTGAAACCTAAGCTCAAATTTTGACGCTTTCCCTGCGTTCAAGCTGGGCTTTGACCAAGGCCGCACCTACACGGGAGATGTTGTTAAGGAGAACAGCAGGAACTTAGACCCCCGGTTGCAATCGGAAGGCCGCGTTCGCTTACGATTTCCGAGTCCGACCAGCTGTCATTGCCTGTGTTTCATTTGCAGGCTCCTTGAAGCATGACCTTTCACTGACCATCTCCGCAAGGAAGCGCAACTTCCCCACCTGTAACCCATGTGCATTCTTTTCTTTAAGTTTGACCCGCGACCCGTTTCCAAAAATGCCTACAGGTAATGTCCCACTCCGCTTACCATCTCTTATCAAAATGCTTGTTGCCGCTCTCGCTAGAGTTTGAAAATTCCACCGTGGCCTGGCCTGCCGAGCCGTCTCGGCGGTGCTGTTGGGGTCTCAGGTGAGCCTCTGCTTTGTCTGCTGAGCGTAAGAGAGACTTGACTTCCATCTTTTTGATGCGTGGATTAAGATGGAATGGCCTGTGCAACTTTTGCCTCGTTTCTGATCTGGGGTCAACGCCATCCTGTCTTCCTGTACACATGCCCAAAGCAGCTGTAGCAGTAATTTTAATTACAATGCTGTTATGACTAAGTACAGGACAGACCAGGAATAAAACAACTGATACCATAATGTATTGCCATCAATTACAATGTCATGTGCAAATGAGGAGCTTCTAAACCAGTGTTGTCCAAACTTGGCCACTTTAAGATGAGTGGACTTCAACTCCCAG